CTTGAGTGACACGAATCTCCTCTTTTCAAAAAATAGACTTTAGGGGCCGGCCTGGTGGTGCAGCAGTTGGGTTCAGGTTTGCCCCCTGGATCCCGGGTGCGGACATGGCACCACTCGTGAAGCCATGCTGTGGCAGACGTCCCACATAAATTAGAGGAAGATGGTCACCAGTGTTAGCTCAGGGCCAGTCTTCCTCAGCAAAAAGAGGAGGATTGGCGGCGGATGTTAGTTCAGGGCTAATCTGCCTCAAAAAAAAATTAAATTAAAAATTAAAAAATAGACTTTATTTTTACAGAGCAGTTTTAAGTATACAGCATAATTGAGCAGAAAGTATAGAGATTTCCCATATACTTCTCATCCATTCCCCCCAACACAAGGCCTCCACAGCATCACATTTGTTACACGATGAACCGACCTCAACACACCCTTGCCACTCAAAGCCCATAATTTATCTTAGGGTGCACTCTTGGTGTAAGGGTAATTTTGGCCTCATAGAATGAGTTAGGAAGTATTCCCTGTGCTTCCAGTTTCTGGAAGAGATTTTAGAGAATTTCTATAATTTCTTCCTTAAATGTTTGGTAAAATTCAGCTTTATGTGGTGGGATAAAGTGAAGGAAATCCTTCAGAAAGAACAATACTTAAACAAAATTAAAAACTTCTGCTCTGTGAAAAACACTGTTTATAGAATAAAAAGACAAGCCACAGGCTTGGAGAAAATATTTGCAAAAAACATTTTTGACAAAGGATTTGTATACAAAATATACAAAGAACTATTAAAACTCAATATTAAAATAACTCAATTTTAAAATGAGTAAAATAATTGATATGCTAAGATAGGAGGGGAAATGGAATTTTTAAAATGCACAATTAAAACCACAAAAAGCTGAAAAGAATGGAAAACAAAAACAGGAACAAAGAACAAGGAAAACAAACAGAAAACAGTGACAAATATGGCAGCTATTAATCCGACTATATCAGTAATCACTTTAATGTTCATGGTCAAAGTATACCAATTAAAAGCAGAGATCGTCAGAGTGGATTTAAAAACAACACCTGTGCCCATGACTAATGATTGGGTAAACAGGATGTGGTATATATATATACAATGGAATACTACTCAGCCATAAAAAAAGACAAATTCATCCCATTTGCAGTAACATGGAAGGACCTGGAGGGAATTATGCCAAGCGAAATAAGCCAGACTGAGAAAGACAAACACCAGATGATTACACTCGTATGTGGAATATAAACAAACACACGGACAAAGAAAACAGTTCAGTGGTTACCAGGGGAAGGGGCTTGGGGGTGGGTAGAGGGGGTGAAGGGAGCACTTATGTGGTGACAGATAAGAAATGATGCACAACTGAAATCTCACATAGATGTAAACTATTATGAACTCAATAAAAAGAAAAAAGAATACAAGATTGTATCATACACTGGGACAGAAAGATACTATGAACTCAAGGGTATTAATTTTATAGATATCTTGAATCTTGGCATAAACTAGTCACTTTAGAGAGAAATCAAATATGTAGGATTCAACATCCCTTTGAAGGAATTACTGAAATACCAAAAAGCCCTTCCTTGAGGAAGCCTTCCTTGGTGAGATCTCAAAACAATGTTAAACTGAGATTGCACTGTAGTAGGAGCTATCAGATGATCTTTAAATAAAAACTTTTTACCCTTCATATTGGTATAATATTATATACCAGTATAATCCCTTCGATTTTTAAGCTCCATAGTCTAAAAGGATCCAGGGTGGGTCGGAGTTTCTAGATTGTGAACCAAGAGTTCAAGACAACAGACTCAACAATTATCAGTTGCATAAAATCTGAAATCAATACAAATCTATTTACAGAAAGTCTATGTGTGCATAACAAATCACATCTGGGATTCTTCATTAAGCTTTTATGCTGGTTTTTGGTCTTGGAATACATGTATTTTAATAATGACATTACTGTTCTGGCTCAAAAAAAAAAAAAACACCTAACAATATGTTGTCTACAAGAAGACTATTTTAAATATAAAGATATATATGATAAAAGTAAAGGGATTGGGCCCGCCCGGTGGCCCAGTGGTTAAGTTCTCATACTCTCCTTGGGCGCCTGGGGTTCACGGGTTTGGATCCCGGGCACAGTCCTACACACTGCTCATCAAGCCACGCTGTGGTGGTGTCCCACATACAAAATAAAGGAAGACTGGCCCAGGTGTTACCTCAGGGACAATCTTCCTCAAGCAAAAAGAGGAAGATTGGCAACAGATGTTAGCTCAGGGCCTATCTTCCTCACACACACACACAAAAAGACCAAAAAAAAAACAAAAAAATAAATAAATAAAAGTAAAGGGATGGAGAAAGAGATACCATGACAAAACTAATGAAAAGAAAGCTGGAGTAGCTATATTAATTTAAACAGAGCTGACTTCAAAGCAAGGAAATTAAACAGGGAAAAAGAGGAATATATAAATGAGATAAAGGGCTCAATTCTCCAAGAAGCCATGACAATCCCTAACATGTATGTGTCTAAGAATAGAGCATCAAAATATATGAGGCTAAACTGATGGAACTACAAGGAGATGAATCCACTACAGTCATTATAGTTGGAGACTTCAACACCCTTCTATCAGAAATGGACTAATCTAGGGGGCCGGCCCATGGCCGAGTGGTTAAGTTTGTGTGCTCCGCTTTGGTGGCCCAGGGTTTCACGGGTTCAGATCCTGAGTGCGGACATGGCACCACTCATCAGGCCATGCTGAGGTGGCGTCCCACATAGCACAACCAGAGGCACTCACAACTAGGATCTACAACTATGTGCTGGGGGGCTTTGAGGAGAAGAGAAAGGGAAAAAAAAGAAGATTGGCAACAGATGTATGCTCAGGTGTCAATCTTTAAAAAAAAGAAAGAAAGAAAGAAATGGACTGATCTAGGAGGCAGAAGATAAGTAAGGACATAGTTGAACTCAACAGCACCATCAATCAACTGGATATAATTGATTTCTACGGTCTACTTCATCCAATAAAGCAGAATACACATTTTTCTCAAGCTCATATGAAACATTCACCAAGACAGACCCCCTTCTGGGCCATAAAACACACCTTAACAAATTTAAAAGAATAGAAATCATACAATGTATGTTCTCAGAACACAATGGAATTGAACTAGCAATCACCAGAAAGACAGCTAGATAATCCCAAAAAACTTGGAGACTAAACAAAAACACTTCTAAATGGGTCAAAGAAGAAATCTCAAGAGAAATTAAATGATAGTTTTAACTAAATGAAAATGAAAACAACTTAAAATTTGTGGGGTGCAGTGAAAACAGTGCTTAGAGGGAAATATATTGCATTAAAGTCATATATTAGAAAAGAAGACCTAAAATCAATCTAAGTTTCCACCTTAGGAAACCAGAAAAAGAAGAGCAAATTAAATCTAACGTAAGCAGAAGGAAAAAATAATCAATGTAATTGGACATAGGAAATCAATAGAGAAAATCAATAAAACCAAAAGCTGGTTCTTTGAAAAAATTCAGTAAAATTAATAAACCTCTACCCAGGCTAATTAAGAAAAAAAGAGAGAAGACATAAATTATTAATATCAGAAATGAAAGAGGGGACATCACTATGGAGTTTAAAAAGATACTAAAGGAATTCTGTGATCAAGTCTATGCCCTCAAGTCTGATAATTTAGATGAAATGGACCAGTTCCTTGAAAGACAACCTGCCAAAACTCACACAAGAATAAATAGACAAACTGAATAGGCCTACCTGTATATCTATTAATTAAATTGAATCAATAATTAATAACTTTGGAAAACAGAAAGCACCAGCCCCAGATGTGTTCACTGGTGAATTCTAACAAACGTTTAAGGGAGAAATTATGCCAATTTTCTACAACGTGTTCCAGAAGATGGAAGCAGACAGAAAACATCATAACTCATTCTATGAGGCCAGCATTGCCCTAATACCGAAAACAAAGACAGTGCAACAAAACTATAGAACTATTTCTCAAGAACGTGGATGCAAAAATCCTCAACAAGATATTAGCAAACCTAATCAAACAAAATTCCTCTCTAAAGATTATTGATACTATCCTTTTCAGATTAAGGATTAGAGCCTGGAGATTAAATGCATAACACATTTGTGTTTTTGTATTTCCTTGGGTCCTCCTATAGCACAGTCATCCTATCCTTTTTGTCCAGAGATTATTACACTGAGTTATAATTAACTCCATAGAGTTGAGTTCAAGAGTTAACCCATACAATCTTGGATGGACTAAGTCTACTACTTTTTTCTTTTCCAATCCTGGGCACAGACTACAGCACCTAGCGTTACAACAGATGTCTATTACGTTTGATGGATGATTGAACTGAGATTTGTTCAGGCAATTTAAAGATCCTAATCAAAGAAGGGGCGCTCCAGCTGCCTCGCATGCCTGGAATACGTCCAGCCACAGAGTCAGGCTACAATGATGGGAGTGCTTTAGGCATTTATTCAATTTATTTCATTAGCTCTAAAACTACAGTAAACATTCAGGTTGAGTGTTTGTGTGAAGCTCTGAAGCAGCATCTCTTAGGCCAGAGATTTTTAAACTGTGGGTGATTAAATTTTATGGATTACAACCAACTTTTTAAAAACTAATTTAGCCTTAAATATATCAAAACGCTGTTCACGTAGCAATGGTAAACACTGTTTTGTCAACTTTTTGTTTCAAATTTTTTATGTATGTTTTGGGTCCCGGTGTAAAACTGAGTGATGTTTACAAGCCACGGTTAATAACGTTTCCGAGCCACTGAGAACGGGGTACCGGAGGAGGGAGTCGAGCAAGGCAAAACGCAGGAGCTCGGCCGAGCCCCACGCCCAGTCACGAACGCGCGGGCGGCGCCCAACTCGTTCAGGATGCGCACGCATGATTTAGAGAGCGGATTGGTCAAAACGCGAGGGTCCCGCCCACAACGTCTCGCCCACCAATGGCTGTGCGGCTGTGCGGGGCGGGGCGGGGCGAGCCTCGCGCGGGCCCCTTGAGCAGCCGGGCGTGGCCGCCGCGAAGGCTAGCCGTGCGACGGCGCGGGCGGGGGTGCAGGCGGCCGCGGCGATGTCGGACGCGCAGGACCTTCTTCGCCAAACCATGTCCCGGCAAGATGCGAGCGCCAACGCCTCCCCATGGGTCGTTGCTTCCCGGCGAACCTCGAGGCCGGCAGAGGAGCCGAGCGGCAGAGCTGGCGGCTGGAGGGAGACCCCCGGCCGCCGGCAGTCTGCGGCCGCCGGTCTCTGGGAACCGCCGCTCTGCTTTGGGCTGAAGAGCGACTGGGTCGGCGCGGTGATCGGTGAGAGCGACGGGGCGGGCGGGGGGCGGGCGGGGGACGGG